TTCAAGCAACGATTGACTCACATGAAAGAAAAATAAAAAGTTCTAAATATTCTACTCGCATTTTGGTGGTTGAATTAAGCTAAAGATCACAATTTTAAACTAGACTAAAGCAAGATTCGAATTCTAAAGCAAACAAATCCTCAAATTGCACGAAAAAAGAAAATAGAGGGAAAAATAACAAGGTACCCTAGACCCGAGATGGAAAGAAGGCACTCATAGGTTCGGGAACATGCAATCAAGCAATCGTCACTCGCGCTCAACCAATCGATTCCTCAATCAATTCTCGCTCATGCAATTAAGCTAACACAATCAATAACAAAATCACATAATTCCTAGCCTACGAGTATGAATGCATATTCTACTCATGAAAGCTCCTATCTTTATCCTAGAATGAATTCCATAAGTAAAGACAAGACAAGACTCACGAGATCTTGGACCTTCAACTAAATTTCCAATCGGACCTTAAACGAAGTCTCCAAGTCCCTAGTGCATCCACGAGAAGAAATAAGCCGGAAAGTTGCAATCTTGATGGAGAAATTAATATTATAATAAAAATAGGGTCTTAGAGCCCTTAGAGAGAGAAATAAAACTAGAGAGAAGGAGGAGAGAAAAGCTAAAAGGAAAATTTTAGCAAATGAGGAATTGTTCCCAAACTACAAAGCATCAAGTCTATTTATAGCTACATCTCAAACACACACTAAAACACACACATTTAATGATCAAAACTCGCAGGTAAGGTCGAATTCGCAAGGAAGGGCCGGATTTTCGCGGGCAAAAAGCTCCCTCGCGAGTGCAAGGGACAAGCAACACGGGCATGGGACTCGCGGGCAGAGCGGCTTTGGCGGGCGCGACACAGGGATTTCGCAGGCAGGAGCATCGCGTTGGTGGACTCACGAGCAACGTCGGTTTCGCGGGCGCGGGCGTCGGGACTCGCGGGCAAAGGGCGCTGCTGGGGGAACTCGCGGGCACAGGGCCGTTTCGCGAGCGCGAGTCTGAAAACTCACGGGTGGCCTGCACTTCAACTGGAACTCGCGGGCAGGCGCGCGCAGGCAGGCGCTCGCGGCTGGCTGGACTTTCGCGGGCGCTGGTCTTGGTCCGGTGACCCATTGTCGCTTGATTTGCTCTAACTTTTCGCACGCTTATCCAATTTACTTGACACTTCGACCCACGCTCCTCAAATCTTTTTCTCTTCGTCTTGAGATGTGCAAATAGATGTCACCACGCAATTAATAAATATGCTCGGAAATGGTTCGCGTGGCTCGGACATGGTTCGGATGGCTCGGAAATGTCTCGGAAATGGCTCGCAATCCCAAACTCAACTATTGTGCCACCTACACAACACTAAAAAGACAAGAAAAATACGCCGAACCACAAAAACACAAAACAAGAGCAAAAATGCACGAAACACGATAAAATAGTCCCGTCGACACTAAAACGAACCTAAAAAGACTAAACTAAAGCACATAAAACACATGAAAATAAGCACAAAAAACATAATAAATAAACATCTGCTAATCAAAACATATGGCCGATTTTATGGAAAAAAATGTTTCTGATACTTTGAAAATACAAAAGAATACTTTTATGGTTAGAAAAAATAACACATAATTTTTTTTATTATTAAATAAGTCGTAAATTTTTTTATTAAGAAAAAAAACTGCCAACCAAAGCAATTGTATTAGCCGAATATCTGGTTTTAAATTTGGAGAATATAATTGGCCGATATTTAATTGAATTAGAGTCGTGACGTACATTTTTATTCAAATTTAAAAATAGCTTCTTGTAACCAATAACCAAATTTAATTGATATAGCACGTGCATTATCAACTTTTGATATGCACATTGTGTCAAACCATCGCAAATTTGCAATAGACCAAATTTAAATAGCAGCCCGCTTTTTTTAAAACAAAAAAGTAACAAACTTTTCATTTTAAGGATAACATTTAATGTTGTCTGTTTTCTATTAAAAAAATATTAGAAAAATACTATAAATGGTATGTAATTAATGTTGATCAATTTTGACTAAGGATTGAATTACTATTTTTTATAAATGGTAATTCTATTAACAAACTTCTCATTTTAAGGATAACATTTAATGTTGTCCGTTTTCTATTAAAAAAATATTAAAAAATACTATAAATGGTATGTAATTAATGTTGATCAATTTTGACCAAGGATTGACTTACTATTTTTCTATAAATGGTATATATATATATATATTACATGATGATATCATTTTCACAAATGTTAATAGATATTGTATTGCTAATTTTAATAAAATACATTCTAGTTAAAAATAATACTAAAACACAATCAAACATAGTCCTATGTATAATTAAAAATAATGATTCTTACAGTTTTCACAAAAGCTAATAGATATTGTATTGCTAATTTTAATAAAATACATTCTAGTTAAAAATAATACTAAAACACAATCAAACATAATCATATGTATAATTAAAAATAATGATTCTTACAGTTTTCAGACTAGGACTAATTTCATTTGAAGTATATGTATATCTAAAAAATGATTACTTTAGCCTAAAATGATTTGTTCACCAGTCACCACTATTGTCCCTTCATCGGCATTTCCCAGGAAATTTCCGCTGCACCTTATACACATGCTAATTAAAATAGCATTAAGGTTGCAGTTTGACATAAGAATGTATGGAAATATTTTGTCTCATTATAAAATAAAGTTGGACAAATAGAACTAGTTACTTTAAGGTTAATGGTATGGATTAAAGGTGAAACTGGAATAATTAAAGTTGATACATAATAAAATTTTAATTAATCATAATGATTATTATAAATTTGTAAGTGGATATGTATCTTTTAGTGAAAAATATATAATAAGTATTTTTCGTATTATTATTTTTCTCTTGCTTCCGATAATGTGACTGTAGAAAAAAATGAAATGAATAGTATGATTTATTAAAAAATGTTATATTCTCAAATTTCAATAAAATAAATTTTAACCGACGAGATATAAATAAATACAACCCGTCATTATGCGGTACTATGTAGGGTTGGTATCGGTTTGGTTACCGAACCGATAAGAGCAAATCGGTATCGAACCGATTTGGTTACCGAAAACTCGGTTCGGTAACGATTTCTTATCGAAAAAACCGAAATACCGAAATTCATCAATTTCTTTCTTCTGGTTGGAGTGAACTGAAAGTGAAAGTGTGAGGGCCGATT